GGCTCCACTAAACTATCGAATTCCTCTCGTATCCAATCCTTACAATCCAAAATCCTTCGTAAAATCCTCAACGCTCCTTACTTTGTCACAAATAAAATCATCCATAAAGACCTTAATGTTCCATATGTTTCCGATTTGGCCCAATCCAGATATCTATCCTTCCATAACAAACTGCAGAACCATCCGAATCCTCTCGTTTCAAACCTTGCCTCCTCCTCGATCCCTGATAATCCTCCGAGGCATCTGAAAAGAAGATGGCCTCGGGACTTTCTAATATAGAACTTTAATTTGAGTTCTGCCAATGGGTGGTTTCTCTTCATGTTGTACACGTCATGTTACCAATGTCAAATTTACTTATTGTATTTTCCATGTAATACAGTTGTAAATCTCAATAAAATAAAATTAAAAAAAACAACATTTGAAAGTAACAATATTAAAAAAAAAGTCTGCCAAATAAGGTCAGTATAGCTTCCTCGCCGTTTCCATGGGCTAAAATATATCTATATTACAAACTATAGAACTAGAGAATAAAATCCCTGAGAGAAGCCGATTCGGAAATACAGTTACCCTGCAATATTCGCGGGTTTGATATCCACGAATTTAATTTATTTGAAGATTCCATATTTGATGATTCTTGATTAAAAAAAAAATACTAATGCATACTGAACAAGAATTTCACTACTGTTAGTGCAAAAGATCGCATGTAAAAAATTGATTGTTTTACGAGAGAGCATAAAACTATTTATTTCTTTATGCTTGATTAGTATAATTTCATATTTTATTGTCTGCTATTGTTGACTGCTATTTTCCATAGTAACAGATTACTTATATCAGTTGCAGGCTACAAAATATCTGCGTTTACTTCTTCTTTGTCTTCCTCTTAAGGCATTAGCTAGCGTCGAGGAGCCTCAATCCAGCGTAACCTTTCTTCCCGGTCCCTGCATAGCCGCTTCATCTCATTGAGGGTTTTGCCTCTTTTTCTTCCAATTCTCTGGATATACTCTTGGGATGTAATTCGGGAGCTTCCTCGTGGTCTCCTTCCTGTGGGTCGAACCTCTAATATCTTTATAGGATTGAAGTTCTTGTTCATGCGGCAGACATGTCCAAACCACTGGAGTTGCCGTCTTTTTAGAATGGTTTTAAGTTCGGTAACTCCTAGTTGCTCTCTAATGCTTCCGTTCCTAATGCGGTCCCTTCTAATTCTCCCAGAAGATGTGCGAAGAAACCTCATTGCTGGTGCCGTTATGCGACTAGAGTGCCTGTGCAGCTTTCTTCGCCGTAGGTGAGTGTAGGTAGGTAAACAGACATATATACATGCATTTTGGTCTTCTTGTCTACTTTGCGGTGGCCTACGATGCTATTAGTAGTCTGGTAATACACTTCTGTTTGATATTTCGGCGTTTATCTTACCCAAGCTACTAATTACGGTCCATAATGAGGTGTATTCACTCACTATCTCAAGTGACTCTCCGTCGCAAATCAGTTGGACATCTTTCTGTTCTTCCCTCGCCATAACCACCACTTTACTCTTAGAGGTGTTAATTTTCATCCCCTTCCTAAGCAACTCTTCTTCCCATTCTACCAGAACTTGTTTTAATTTGGTCTTGGTATCTGATTTTTGGACTATGTCATCCGCGTATTAAAGGCTTTCTACGAATACAGTTCTCATATTCCATTTCCCAATTGTTGTTCACGCAGATCGGCGCTTGCAGATTTTGTGGATCTCTCTGTCTAACTCCTGTTGCAATGGGAAAACGTTCCGATTCCCTATCATTTATCCTTACCACTGCAATTGCTTCTTGGTAGGCTGACTATATGGCCATCAGCAAGTCTCAAAGTACACCCTTGGATTAGGACATTCCAAATTTAGGAACACATCAACGCTGCCTTCAGACCAAGGAATGTAAAATATAGATTTTTTATCTCTGTCCCAAGCTTTTTCAGCAATATGTCTGCTAACAAAGATGTGATCATACGTTGCCCTGAACGAAAACCAGCCTTTTCCGCTTCTAACTGCACTTCCACAATCCGTCGGAGTCTCCTTTCTGTAATAGAAGTGCAAAGTTTATAGGTTACTGAGAGCAAACTATCGGGCCTATAATTCTTGCAATCTGTCGTACATCCTTTTTTATAAATCGGGAGGATTATACAATATTCCCAGTCCCTGGGAATTTTCTTTCTGTCATATACTTCTTGGAACAGCTATTGAAGTGCTTTAAGAAGTTCTTGACGACCATATTTAAAATACTCTGATGCAATTCCATCCCTTCCTGATGCTTTACCTCTTTTTAGCTTATGAATTGCATTTTCTATTTCTACTTCCTCTATAACTTACAGGCTTTCTTGAATATTGAGCTCTTATTCTTGGCAATGGTCTGTTTCTGGGTTTTCGGAGAATCCTTTCTGGAAATATTGATTCCATCTGCCAATGATCTTTTCTATCTCTGTAAATTCAATTCCCCCGATACCTTTTACATTTATAATAGGCTTGCATTGCTTTCCTTTAAACGTTTTATCTTTTCGCCAAAATGTTCTTATAGATTCGCAATGGTCCTCGCTTAACTTTTTCCACAATCCTCCCATGACTTTCTTGGTCTGGCTTATGACTACCATACATTCATTCCGGGCTATTCGATAAACGTGTATTGAAGCAGAATGATTGTTGCAGACCATAGGTACGATATCCATAATCCCATTGTATGCACCAACGGAAGATGCTAGTGTTGCAGACAAGGAGTCATTATACTCGGATTTGCAAAAAGTAGAGGATAAAGCTAAAGGAAAAGGAAGGTCGGTAATCCTCAGTGGAGACTTCAATGCCAGAACAGGAAATGATGAATGATCTGTATATGGAGTTCTAGGGCTGCATGGAGGTGAGAGTGTGAGGAATAGAAATGACAAGTTTGTTATTCCTACGGGACCTCAGAATTAAGTTTATTTTCTATTCTATCACACACACACACACACACACCTACACACACACACACACACACACACACACACACACACACACACACACACACACACACATATATATGTATATATATATATATATATATATATATATATATATATATATATATATGCATTAATATTCAGTTGAAATATTAATGCATTCTCCTCGATGACAGCTGGGATTGATAAGGCGACACTGACATTACTGGAGCTGGCGTGGCAACTGCAAGTCGTGGTCTGCAATGAGATAAGCAGTTCGGACACCGATTGGTTTACATTCTGGTCCAATCGAAAATCCTCGCTCGATTTTTGCAAAATTCTAGAAGCCGGTCTCCAGCACACGAATCCACTCACTTATTAATTCAACTCGATGCATCATTGTATAATTAAGTGGTCTTATCCAAATTTATGTTACTTTACAGGGCATAAATGCCCAATGTTCATATGTGTCTTTCTCTAAAGTACCTTTAATATGGTTTATTTTAAATAATTAACTATCTCACATTATTAAGAGTTACAAAAAATGCTAAATATATATAACTTTTGAAAGAATTTGATAATTGAATTGTAAATAAACTACAGGAAGTTAAATGTAAAATAAAGATGTTTTGGCGGGAAAAGCGAATAGCCTTCCGCTTTTATATCGGGGCTTTAAGGTTATTTACACTCATGAATTATTAAAACAAAACCCCGGCACTGGATATCGACTTTTTGAGGGTGTTTAACTGTGATTGGGAATTCGGGAATCTAATACCTTTTATGACACTGTGTGAGAAGAAACAATAAGAATACATATATGAAATGTAGGACTGAGTAAACACTTTGAATTGACTCACCTGGTTTATTCTTCAATCGTGAGGCCTATAGGACAACTAAATAAAAGGACTATTCACTCCGGTATAATAAAACAATTTATTTACAACTGCAATAAATGAATGTATAAAAGTCTTATAACTGTAGGCTTGATTTCTCAGTCTTCAATGTAGTAAGCCTCTCTTCCCAGATGACGTCTTGTGTTGGTGTCCAGGCCTCGAGTGTTTGGCGTCGTCCTCGCCATCTGTTGCCAGCTACCTGATCGGACCTTTTCTTCTTTTCGATTGTTTATCGATGTGAGATTTTCCAATGAGCAATTTGTCCACTGCACAATTGAGTACAATTCACAGTGCTACCTCACATTCCTACATATTATATATACCTTCTCATTCCCTTACACATTGTCATCTAAAGGAGTAAATACAGGGAGATGTCTATTACAGAATAAAGCAGAAAAAAATACTTATCTAGTCAAAGAGTACACGTATGATATATCGTTGGAAAGCTGATAAATTTCGAAAAAAACAATATCTACTATAGAAATTCGTAGAAGCTAACGGAGAGTGGCGGAAAAATTAAAAAAAAAAAAAAATTCAGAAAACTAACATTATTTAACGTAAATCACATGTTTCCAAGGAAATTAAATGAAACTGTATTACTATGTGTAAAATTTTAAATGTTTTTCTAAGTTTGGAAAAAAATAATTTAAATACCACCGAATTAAGCCAATGCCATTGTTTAAAATACTATTTCATTGTACTTTTCTGAAAGAAGAAGTGAAAATATAAAAATATCCGTAACAAATAATGATAATGATAATATTAATTTAACTTTTATCTTTAATATGCCAATTGGTGAATCATGTTTATCATTTAGTTTCTCACATAAAAGCACAAAGCCCTAGATAGCCAGGTCAAGCTATCTCTGATAGCTTAGAAATAGTTATTTAGAATGTACTGACTGGACAGAAGACACTTATCAAGACTTAGGGAACAATAACCGTTTTCAGCAAAAGAGCACTTTCTCACAGACTTCATATCAATTCTAAAAGATAAGGATATCAATTCTTAATAGTTATAACTTCATTCACACGCTTCCTAGACCGTCCAGAATTGATTCTGGAGTATATAACCCCCATCTTTCTAAGACCAAACTACTCATGTAGTTAATTCTCTTGATGTCATACTCTTCACTGTAGGAGACCTGGAGTGAACTGATGTAGTCAACTCATATATCCATACTATATTACTCTGTATTTTAGATGCCATTTGTAACTTTATGAATTAAAACATTACTTATAAAGTCTCCACTGCCTCCGATTCGTTAACTATGGATATGTTAATAACCTCAAATATATTTACTATGGAGTATTAATTCTAGATAAGATATTATATTTAAATAATTACTTATCTAACGCCCATTGGTTTAAAAAAATTATTAAGTAACCTTTCAGAAAATTAGTGAATAATTTGATCAATTTTCTCGTTGTGAAATCCCGACATCATTACAATTAGTTTGACAACATTTGACCTATCCATGAAAGGCAATAAAAACCTTTCGAACCTCTCTAGGTACATATTCATTATGTCAACCCAAGGCTCAAAGACTGAACTTGTGTGGTTTATAAAAGCAGATGGAGTGTCTCGAGTTTTATTGCCTACCGACGATATAATAAATAGACTCTTTGTAATTTCATTGATATTAATGATTTGTTATTTGTAAACTTCCAGTTTTAGCTCCGTTTAAAATGCACTTCAAAAATTTTATAATACCCCAGCATTGCCAGAAAATAATTTCTATTCAAAGTAGAGCGGTAAGTGAAAGTTGTGTGTTGCGCGCACCAGATGTTTTTTTAAATATCGTTACTTTCAATTTTAGTTTTTCTTCTTGATGATCATTCTTCAAATCTTAATTTAGTTTTAAAAATCAATATTATGCTGGTTGTTTAAATCAGGTGAATGACATTAGTATAAATGATTATTCGATTGATTATTACTAAGGATATAATAAAAATAAACACAGGCTATCAATTTTTAAAAAATAATCAAAACCGGGAAACATTTAAGTTAAAATTAAATCATATTGACAGAGTTATTTCATATCAGCTTCCTTTTGCGGCGAGTGTTTACCTCAATATTTCTCATGTTTTCTCTAGCATCTGCCATTTTTTAAGACCCTCCAATCTGAAAAAAATTAATAACATATTAGTGTAATTTATAAGTTTCAGGGAACTAGTTATTGTTGAAAACTTTATTTAATAATGACAACTTTCTAGCCAATCTCCTTCTACTCCACTGTCAAAAATTTAGGACTATTTATTGATCAAAACCTCTCCTGGAATCACCATATTTCTCACACTCCCGACGGACAATTTCTACCCTCAAATTATTCCATCGCTTCCGCCATCTCCTACCTCAACATACGCGTAGACTCCTGGTTTCCTCTCTCATCTTCCCCCACTTTGACTACAGCTGTGTGGTCTATGATGTACTCTTGGAGGAGCTCCGTGATAGACTGAAAAGATTAATTAACAGTTGCGTGATATTTGTAATTGGTGCCCCGAGATACTCCCAAGTGTCTCACCACTACACTGAGTTAGAGTGGCTCTTTCCCTCCATTCGAACACAATATTCCAATAGGTACATTCCTCTATCATATCATCAACAATCATCGTCCTTCTTACGCCTACAACCTTCTCCAATTCAAATCCTCAGTCCTATTCCTTCCCACAAGATCTCGACCTTCCGACCTTTACATTCCTTCTCCCAGATCTGCCTCGTTCCAAAACTCCTTAATAGCTCTGTTAATTTTAGGAATTCCCTTCCTATCAAAATTCGGCATTCTTCCTCCCTATCTACATTCAAAACCTCCTATTCCAATTCCTGTCCCAAAAACAGTCAGATACCTGCTAACCTTTTATGTAAAATTACATATTATTCATAATAATGTATTTACATATAGCTCATAAATTGATTGATTAAATCCATTGATGCTTAATATGTGATTCCGCCATATTTGTCTTACCTTCTCCTGCACATTCCACCCTGTTGTCGAGGTCACATATGCTAGAAAAAGTTTTAACTATGTCCTGGGCGTCAGACCTACCGCAAATAGGACCTAAGTCGTATTTACAGGTCTTTTTGGAAATGCAGTCTTTGAAGCTATCTCCGACTGCTAATCCTATAAAACCTGAAAATTGATTGAATAATGAAAAAATATTACATTATATAAATGAGATTTATAATTAAAATAAATCAGAGCTATTAAAAAACTAAAGTACCCCAGTGAAATCTCTCAAATTTGATAATCAACACTCCGAAAGTTGCTAGCCTTAGGCATTAGTTACATGAAATGACGCTACGGACCTGTGAGATCCACTAAATTTATTGATCAAAAATATCAACAAACTTCTCATTGCACTGAATGAAAGAGATACAAGTTGAGTTTTTAAATATATCTATTGAGTAAAAACACAGTTACATAATTTAAAAAAATATTAAAAATAAAAACGAAAAATATGTTGACAAAATTTTTTTTTTTACTTTCTTTATTGAATATTAATACATTCTGCCACATTGAAGGGCATTAATATTAAGGCTGCATGATCCATTCACACAATATGTACATACAATTAATATCAATAATAAAGAAAAAGAAATATAAAAAAAAAAAATAATAGATAAAAGCTAGATGAAATTAAACTTTATAAATCACATTCACACCTATGTACAATATTTACATTCACCCAGGGGACTCATGCCTTATTCCCCGACGCGAAAGCCAATGCAGGACTCCAGGAGATCCCAGTGCTTCTCTCTCAGCCGCGTCACTGTTATTTGAAACCAGTGGAAACTGATGGAAGGCACTATAGCAACAGACGCTCATGTCTTGAGTGGAGAATCTGGCCATTGCCAATACTCCAATATATACATATTTACAAAAGATCGCGGGGCCTCTACCATTTTAACCTCCAGGGAGGATTGCAGGGATGGCTGGAGCTAGATAGGGATTGTGCTACAGGATTTGGTTGATGAGTGAGTTTCTGGTGAAATTTGGAAAATTTGTTTGGGATTTGGTCAATAACAAATGGGATATGAAGGTCATGGAGGGTTTTGTTGGATACATAGAAGGGAGCATCGACTATTGTTCGGTGGACTTTAGACTGAAAGGATTGAATGCGTTTGATGTTAGAAAGTTTTGCTGTCCACCACAGTTCTATTCCGTAGGTCCAAATAGGTTTCAGGATTGTCTTGTAGATTAATAGTTTGTTGTCGACTGAAAGTTGAGATTTTCTATTCAATAGTCTATATAGTTGTCCGTATCGTCTGTTAAGTTGTTGTCTTTTAAGTCTGGTGGGTTCCATGTTAGTCTGACAAAATTAGGAACTTGAACATTGAATTCTGTATATTAGAAACTAGAAACTACTGAATATACTTGATATATAATTTTTTTTTTTAAAGAAGCTTCTCATGTCTTATTGATGAGATGAGATAATTGAATATGCAGTATAAAAAGGTATAATACATTTTTGTAATAGGCTTTCTTTACATATCATTGGCATACATGATATGACATATTTTAATGAAATGCTCCTTATAACTATAACTCTGAAATAATAATACTCACAGGCAAGATAAAGCACGAAGTAGCCGAGACGCATTTTGAACAAGGAATGGCGACACTGCAAAGGGAGCATCCATTTATAGTTTAGCGGCCATTGGAAATGAGGCGTCTTGACCTTGGCGCCTATAACGAAGTTCGTCCACTCCTTCGATTTCTTGTTTGCAGTGGACAAATGAGGAATATCTCTTTGTAATTGAAGGGCTTCAGGGTTGGGTAGAACATCTTTTGAGCATGATAAGTATTAATCATTCAAAAAGAATAACTTGCAGAGAACTCATAAGAATTTTCAAATCATGGATAAAATGTTTAGAATGAGTTTTGGAATGGGAATTGGAGGAACTCAGAAGGAATGGAACGAACAGTCTCTTTATAAGCAATAGACGAAATAGCCCCGTAACATGTAAAGGGAATTCTAAGCTGCATCGAATGGGGGTAAAAATTCTATTTATTTTTCTTGTGTGGGCGTGACTGATATGCTGAGCCGTGAGAAACTAAAAGATAGTGCATGATACACCAATTGGTTTATTTAACAAAATAAAAGTTAAATTAATAACATTATTATTATTATTATTTGTTACGGATTAAGTCCATTCCGTAACTGTAGAATAAATCAAGAAAGAGCCGATTTCAATCATGCAACAGTGAGGACGGCTCACTGCTCACGAAGAAAGAAGAAATTCTCCAAAGATGGGTGAGTCACTTTAAAGCCCTACTAAACGACTCAACAGAGGAAGAGGATGAACCTTTCCGGATTTCGAAGAAGTTATGGAAGAGATCCACAGAATAAAAAATGTGCAAATACGAAAGTGAAAACTTGCAGAAAAACCTTCATAATTTGATGTTAAAATTTTGGGTTGATGAAAAGATGCCAACGGAGTGCAAAAAGAGAATAATTTGCACAATCAACAAAAAGTGTGATAGGCTTGACAAAATTATACCGGAATATCGCACTTACCAACGGCATACCGAATTCTTTCCGGAATTCTCTTCAATTGACTGTGTAATTATGCCGAACAAAAAGTAAGAAAATAGCAGACTGGCTTTAGAAGTGGAAAATCCACAGTGGACCAGATCTTTTCCCTGAGAACTATCTTGGAGAGGGGGATTGAATATATTATGACAATCTACCATCTTTTAGTAGATTTCAAGAATGGTAAGATAGCTCCATCAAACGCTCCAAAATTTACAGGGCACTTGAAGAATTTGGCATTCCCAGGAAGCTTATTCGCCTTGTTAAGCTGACCATGCATGATGTGAGGAATGTCATCAGAATACAAGGAGATTACTCGAGTGATTTTCAGGCCAATAAGGGGCTTCGACAGGGGGATGGTTTGGCATGTCTGCTATTCATTGTAGCGCTTTAAAATGCAGTAAGGCATTAAGAAGTTCAGACAAGAGAGACTAATGTCAACAGAAGTGTCCAGATCTTGGCCTTAGCTGACGACATTGGCATAGTTGCAAGATCGAAATCTGAGCTGAGTAACGGTTTTCTGACAATCCAACACGCAGCCTCGCCATTGTGCCTTGAGATAAATGCCGATGGAGTTCAAAGGAGCATAATCCATAGGAATAGGAGCATACAAATTTCAGAGAGTGCAAGAGTTTACTTATCTCGGGTCCCTTATGACGTCGACCTATGACATGTCAAAGGAAATAGGAAAGAGGACAACAGCAGCCAACTGTTGTTATTTTGGCTTAAGGAGGCAGATCAGGAGCCAATTACTCACAAGGCAAACTAAGGCAAGACTATACAAAACTTTACTCAGGCCGATGTTGACCAATGCCTCACAAAAATGGACTATGACAAAGACAAATGAGAATAGTCTCCTTATATTCGAACTGAAAATGTTGCGACGAATATAAGAACCTGTGAAAGAAGAAGAATTTTGGATGATACGAAGAAACCGAGAGTTATACACTCTCTATAATGAACTGACTGTCGTCGACTTCACCAAGCTTGGAAAGTTAAGTTGGGTTGGTCATGTGATTCGGATGGAGGATGGTGATATTACCAGAAGAGACCTTGAGGATACGATTGACCGCACCAAGAGGAGAGGAAGACCCAGGCTAAGATGGATTGCTTGGCGGCTGACTTCAGACTATAGCTAGGGAAACCTAATCCCTGGTTACAACTACAGTTTTTTGTCACTATATAATAAGTTCTATGATAATCTATTGAATAGATATTATTTTTGGTAAAATCGTCAGCTTTCCAACAATATCTTTATTATATTTATACCTTCTGACTATTATTTCAGTACTATTAACATTAGAATAATTTGTGACTAAATTTCACTTTTTTATTTTTATTCACGGTCTAGTTAGGATTTTGTCTTATACCACATTTTGTTGATGATTTTTATTGGATACCAATTATGTACGAGGATATCATAGATTTTTGTTTTTATTTAATAAATATGAATGCCGTCAGTTATCAAAATTGCTTTTTCTATAAGGTGTTAGCCACGCTGATATTTCTACAGGAACATTGGTTGCTTAGCCAATTCAAAATTTAATTTCTAGTCATAAATTTTTTAAAACCGATCTATGGTGAATTGAATTATTACTCGGTAAATTAAATGGCTATTCAACGACCTTACATTTATAAACAAATGATTTTTATGACACCATCAATAAGAAAAATGAATAGAATTATAACGACCTATAAATTTTACAGCCATTGTTTAAATAAACTCCTTTTTTTTTAATAAAGCGTTTTATTATCATTTTTGTATGTCCTCTCTTAAAAACAATACTCGTCAAAATATGCTCCCTCAAAAATTTTAATGGCACAACTTGCGCCATGAAATTCCCTTCTGGGCACCCCTGCTCGTAAATGAGGATGGGCAATTCCGACTGCAGGTCGGAAGGAACGGAATGTCCTAGCATCGAAAATCGTTCCAGTTCTCGTTTCGTTCCATCTTCTTTCCGAACAACAATTGAAACAAGATTGTGCAAATTTGAAGTTTGTGAAAATTTATTGAAAAACCCTTCTGATATGAGATTTTACCGGAAGATTGTCACCTGTGATGAAAAGTGGCTTTACTGGCGAAATCCCAATACTCGTGAGCAATGGCTGGATCGCGCGGTCAAACGGCTTTTCCGGTTGCTGCATGGGGGCAATTTGAAAAAAAAATCCGTTCTTTGCTTTTTTTTGTAATTTTAAAGGTGTTATTCATTACAATTTTTTCCAGATGGATGCTCTTTGAAATGGGTGAACGTTGAAAACCTCTATCTCAAAACTTATTAAACTAACATTATTAAACTTATTAAAATTAAATTTATTTCATTATTAGAGTGCTACCAGTGGGTAGTTTCTCAACAAGCGTGTTTCATGTAATAATATTCCTCTGTACAAATTTACTTGATGTATTCATACTAATACAGTTGTAAATATCATAATAAAAGTTAAAAAAAAAAAAAAAAATTATTTCAAGGCCCAACAGCGAGGCTGCGTGTTGGATTGTCAAGCTACATTGACTATTTTCATCGGTCTTTGTCATAGTACATGTTTGTGAAGCAAAAGTTTTCGTTCGAATATAAGACTATTCTAACCTGCTTTGGCCTTAAATTGTAGCATATTTCTATACCTCCTTGGCGCTCCTCCTCCTATACCTCCTCTACCTCGTTGGCGCTATCCGGGGGTGGGTCTTGGCCTCCTCTAAGAGCTTCCGCCATCCAGCTCGTTCCATTCATTGCCACTGCCTTCCAGTTAGCTTTCCCTAGCTATAGTCTGGAGTCAGCCGCCAAGCAATCCATCCATCTTAGCCTGGGTCTTCCTCTCCACCTGGTGCGGTCAATCCTATCCTCAAGGTCTCTTCTGGGAATGTCATCATCCTCCATCCGATTCACATGTTTCTTCGTAACATCCAAACTTCTGCTTCTTTCACAGGGTCATATATTCGTCGCAAAATTTTCAGTTCGAATATAAGGAGACTATTCTCATTTATCTTTGTCATAGTCCATTTTTGTGAGGCATAGGTTAACATCGGCCTGAGCAAAGTTTTGTATAGTCTTGCCTTAGTTTGCCTTGTGAGTAATTGGCTCCTGATCTGCCTCCTTAAGCCAAAATAACAACAGTTGGCTGCTGTTGTCCTCTTTCCTATCTCCTTCGACATAGGTCGACGTCATAAGGGACCCGAGATAAGTAAACACCTGCCTATTCCTATGGAATATTCTCCTTGCTAAACTCCATCGGCCTTTATCACTGTTTGTTTAGTTTTGGCCTCATTTATCTCAAGGCACAACAGCGAGGCTGCGTGTTGGATTGTCAGAAAAGCGTTACTCAGCTCAGATTTCAATCTTGCAACTATGTCAATGTCGTCAGAAAAGGCCAAGATCTGGACACTTCTGTTGACATTAGTCTCTCTTGTCTGAACTTTTTAATGCCTTACTGCATTTTTAAGCGCTGCGATGAATAGCAGACATGCCAAATCATTCCCCTGTCGCAAAACCTTGTTGACCTCCCTCAGGGAAAAGATCTGGTCCACTGTGGATTTCCCACTTCCGAAGCCAGTCTGGTATCATCGTATTTGTTCAGCATAGGGAGAGTCGATTGAAGACAATTCCGGAAAAAATTTTGTATGCCGTTGGTAAGAGCAATATTACTTTATAATTTTGCAGTCAAGCCTATCACCTTTTTTGTAGATTGGGCAAATTATTCCATTTTTCCACTCCGTTGGCTTCTTTTCATCAACCCAAATTTGAACCATCAAATTATGAAGGTCCTTCAGCAGTTTTCACCTTCGTATTTACACATTTTTCATTCTGTGGATCTCTTCCATAACTTCTTCGAAATCCATAACTTCCATAAATTCTTCCTCTGTTGAATCGTTTAGTAGGGCTTCAAATTGACTCACCCATCTTTGGAGCATTTCTTCTTTCTTCGTTAGAAGTGAACCGTCCTCACTGTTCCGTGGGATAGAAGTTGTTTTGAAATCGGCTCTTTCCTGATTTATTCTACATTATTCTACTTCTTTCTTCGTGATAAAGAGACTGTGCGTTCCATGCCTTCTGAGTTCCTCCAATTTCCATTCTAAACATTTTATCTATGATTTGGAAATTTCTTATGGATTCTCTCAAAGTTATTCTTTTTGAATGATTAATACTTATCATACTCAGAAGATGTTCCACCCAATCCTGAAGCGCTTCAATTACAAAGAGATATTCCTAAGCTGTCCACTGCTTCCAAACAAGAAATCGAAGAAGTGGACGAACTTTGTAATAGGCGCCAAGGTCAAGACGCCTCATTTCCAATGGCGGCTCAACTATAAATGGACCCTCGCTTGGCGTGTCGACATTCCTTGTTCAAAATGCAACTCGGCTACTTCGTGCTTTATCTTGCCTGTGAGTATTATTATTTTAGAGTTATAGTTATATGGGGCATTTCAATAAAATGTGTCATCTAATGTATGTCAATGATATGTAACGAAAACCTATTACAAAAATAAGTTAGACCTATTTTATACTGCATATTCAATTACCTCATCTCATTAATGCGACATTAGAAGATTCTTGAAAAAATATTATATATCCGGTATATTCAGTAGTTTCTAGTTTCTAGTATACAGAATTTAATGTTCAAGTTCCTAATTTTGTCATTTTTAATATTTTTTTAAAATTATGTAACTGTGTTTTTACTCAATAGATATATTAAAAAACTCAACCAATATCTCTTTCATTCAGTGCAATGAGAAGTTTGTTGGTATTTTTGATCAATAAATTGATTTAGTGGATCTCATAGATGTAACTAATGTCTAAGGCTATCGACTTTCGGAGTGTTAATTATCAAATTTGAGAGATTTCACTGGGGTACTTTAGTTTTTTAATAGCTCTGATTTATTTTAATTATAAGTGGCATTTATATAATGTAATATTTTTTCATTATTCAATCAATTTTCAGGTTTCATAGGATTAGCAGTCGGAGATAGCTTGGAAGACTGCGTTTCCGAAAATGCATTGCTTCAGAGCTGTTCATTCGTGTATAGACCTGTTTGTGGTAGTTCTCAGACCCAGAACAAAGTTGAAACTTTTTCTAACAAATGTAGCCTCGACATCAGAGTGCTATGTGAAGGAGAAGGTAGGAAAAATATAGCGGAATCACATATTAAAACATCAATGCATTCAAATTAGCACTCTGTGAAATATGATTTTCTTAGTTCGCCTAAGAATCCCGAGGAACGCTGACATAAAACTTTTTTTTAAATCTTTTTATTTATTTTTTTTAATTTGAAAATTAATACATTCTACCGCATTCTAGGGCATTAATACTAAGGTTGCATTACAAATTAACACAATACATACAAATCATAACTAAATTAGAGACAAAAGAAAAAGAGTTGTGGAAAGTAAAAAAATAATAAAATAAAAAAAAATAGAGAGAAGCTAATTGCAATTGAGATATATAAAACAAATTCACACCAATATACAATATTTACATTCGTCCAGAGTATTCGGAGTCATGCTTTGTCCCCCAAATGTGGCCAAGGCAGGACCCCAGGAGATCCCAGTGCTTCTCTCTCAGCCGCGTCACTGTTATTTTAAACCAGTGGAAACTGATGGAGGGCACTATAGCAACAGACGCTCATGTCTTGAGTGGAGAATCTGGCCATTGCCAGTACTCCAATATATACATGTTTACAAAAAATCGCGGGGCCACTGCCATTTTAACCTCCGGGGAGGATTGTAGGGATGGCTGGAGCTAGATAGGGTTGTTCTACAGCATTTGGATGATGAGTGAGTTTCTGGTGAAATTTGGAAAATTTGTCTGAGATTAGGTCAATAACAAATGGGATATGAAGGTCATTATGGAGGGTTTTGTGGGATACATAGAAGGGAGCATCGACTATTGTTCGGAGGATTTTAGACTGGAAGGATTGAATGCGTTTGATGTTTCGAAGTTTCGCTGTCCCCCACAGTTCTATTCCGTAGGTCCAAATAGGTTTCAGGATTGTCTTGTAGATTAGTAGTTTGTTGTCGACTGGAAGTTGAGATTTTCTATTAATTAGTCTATATAGCTGTCCGAATCGTCTGTTTAGTTGTTCTCTTTTAAGTCTGGTATGTGGGTTCCACGTTAGTCTTTTATCTAGAAAAAGCCAAGATACCGAACTGTGTCTGAGAGAGGAAGTGGTATGGATTTGAAGTAGACTGGGTGGACAGGACTTGCGTCGAAGAGTAAAAGTGATGTGTTTGGATTTGGATTCATTTACTTGGATGCGCCACTTATTACACCAATGTTCTATAAGATAAAGGTGACTTTGTAGGTTTGAGGATGCTGTTTTAGGATCTGGATTGGAAGATAAGATGGCTGTGTCATCAGCGAATGTTGCCAGGAGTGTTTCAGGATGAGTAGGAATATCAGCGGTAAACAGAATGTAGAGGACGGGAGCCAAGACGCTGCCTTGAGAAACTCCCGCCTCAATTGAATGGCAGTTGGAGAATTCTGTACCACAATGAACTCAAAAGGAGCGGTCAGAGAGGTAGGATCGGATTATTAGATATAAGGACTGGGGTAGGTGGGTTTTGAGCTTGAAGAGTAGTCCGGTGTGCCATACGCGGTCGAAAGCTTGCTCAATGTCCAGGAATGCTTCCGAGCAATACTCTTTGCTTTCTTAGGCTGAGGGTATGTGGTCAACAATTCGGAGTCCTCGTTGAACTGTGCAATGCTGGAAACGAAATCCGAATTGATGGGTAAGAAGGTTTTGTGATTCCATTATGGGTAGGATTTTTTTAATAGGATTTTTTCAAATATTTTTGAATGGATTGGGAGTAGGCTGATTGGTCTATAGGATAATGTGTTATTGGAAGGTTTGGCTGGTTTCAGGAAAATGACGATGGTGGAATGTTTCCATAAGGGAGGAAAATGGGTAGTTCTTAGGATGCAGTTGTATATATATGTGAGGAATATGATCACTTTGGCTGGTAGTTGATGAAGGATCCGTGGGGTTAGAAGGTCGTATCCAGGAGATTTGCGGGAAGATAATTTTTGTAAATGATATTTGACCTCAGAAGGATGAACTGCTTTTTGGCGGTTGGGAAAGTGGAATTGGTGAGGAGAGGAATTTTTCTACTTTTGTTGTATGGATGGAATGGGATTCAGGATGAGGAGTAAATGTAGAGGAGAGGTTTTTGGCGAATTCCTCAGCTTTGTTTTCATCAGACGCCGCAAAGGGGCCATCGCCTCTACGGAGAGGATGGGAAATATTTTGGGATTTTAGAACTTTTTTGGTAATATTCCAGAGGTAATTGTCGTGAGCGGAGAGGGAGGTAAGGTAAGAGTTAAAGGATTGGGATTTGAAGTTGGATAATTCTTGCTTGACTTTTTTAGAGTAATAATTATAGGAACGGCGATCTGTGGGATTTCTGGTGCGTTGCCTTAAACACTATGATACGGCGTTTAGTTTGGATTAACTCGAGGATGTGTTGAGGTAACTTATTTTTCTTAGGAATTATTGGGGAATGATTAGGGGAGGAAGCAGGACGTTAAACGTAAATTCACATTTCAAAGGGATGTCATAGACTAATATTTTAAATACATTTATTAATTAAATAAAGTTCTCAACAACAACCAGTTCCCTGAAATTTATAAATTACACTAACGTGTTATTAATTTCTTTTTCAGATTGGAAGATCATAAATTATGGTGTATGTCAGAGAAGACATGGGAAAAAGTGAGATAAAGACTCGCCTCAAAAAGAAGCTGATATGAAATAACTCTGTCAATATGATGTAATTTTAACTTAAATGTATAACGGTTTTGATTGTGTTTTAAAAATTGATAGCCTGTGTTTATTTTTATTATATCCTTAGCAATACTCAATCGAATAATCATTTATACTTATTTCATTCACCTGACTTAAACAACTAGCATAATATTGATTTTTAAAAATAAATTAAGATTTGAAGAATAATCATCAAGAAGACTAACTACAATTGAAATTAACAATAGTAAAAAAACAATCTGGTGCGCTCAACACAGAACTTTCACTTACCGCTCGACTTTGAATAGAAATTATTTTTTGGCAATGCTGGGCTATTATAAAATTTTTGAAGTGCATTTTAAACGGAGCTAAAGCTTAAAGCTTACAAATAACAAATCATTAAGACCGTCGAAATTACAAAAAGTCTATTTATTATATCGAGAGTAGGCAATAAAACTCGAGATACTCCATCTGCTTTTATAAACCACGCAACTTCAGTCTCTGACTGAACCTTTCGGTTGACAGAATGAATATGTGCCTAGAGAGCTATGAAACTATATCTGATTATCCGTACATATATTATTACAGTAAGGCTCGAAATCGGTTTTGTACCAAATATAAGCTCCTGTCATGCTGAAATACCATGAATGGGGTACCGTTGGATTCAGAATTTCACCGGGGGTTAGCGAATCGTATTCTCCGCTTTTGTTTTTCTTTCTAAAATAAATAAAGTCGATACAAACATTTTGCTAGACTTCAATACTGGAACGGTGGTAGGTCTGTAGATCAAAGCGGGACAAATTGGATCTTGAAGATTTTGATACTTTACAGCAAGACCCGGGTAGTTCCTCCGGAACTATCGGATCCTTCGTTTTTAAGCCCAAAAACGTACCATTTTCGAGATAACGCAAGGCATGGGGTTCGCATCCACACAACCTGACGTTAATTGTAGTACTGTCATTGGATACATGTCTCATTTCGTCGACTTGAGCTCTCTATGATCGAGACAGGAGGAGTTTATATTATTTATTGATGATGTTTTTGATCGGTAAGCCATACCATCGTTAATTTTTCACCAAATCTCAAGATCGAGCCAACAATTTCGAAGGCTTCCTTCTCCTTCAGGCGGGAAAAATATTCCGATCACCCCGAAAATTCAGGCAAACAAGTTATGAAAAAAAAAATTTATGTGGGAATTACTAAAAAATTACACACTTTTCCCTTGGTCATTTCCATGATTGCATAAAACGTTACTAATTTTCTACAAAAGGAAAAAAAAAATCATCGAAATCGATTAGAAATTTTTCCAATATTTTTTGTTTTTCATTTTATTATTAATTTTTTCGTATTTTCGATTAATATTCACTGGGAGAGTTCTATTATAGCCATTATAGTTCTATTATAAGGAAAAAAAAATCATTTAAATCGGACAATTTTTCGCAAAGATACAGCTTATTGGAATTTGTAAATATGTTGGTTCCAAACAAAAATGAAGATTTAAATTAATTTTGTTTCCTTTGTGGATTATTTATGGATAAAGTAACAATTGATTTCTTTATATTTTGATACGTTGCATTATTTTATGTTCTTATTAATTTGGCATTTGATAACAATATGCTGTGCGAATTTTTCGCACGGGCCTACTAGTTAAATTTATTAATGATTATGGATTGTAGGAATATTAGTTATTAAACTATTATTTTCCATTGTATAGTTTACTAAAAGTAAATTACAAGATTTTTATTGCATGTCATGAATAGGTCAAAAGTTGTCAGACTAATTGTAAGTGGATAATGATGTTGGGATTTCACAACGGGAAAATTGACCAAATTATTCACTAATTTAATTTTCTGAAAGGTTGCTTGATTTTTTGAAATGAACGGCCGATAGATACCTAATTATTTAAATATCTTATCTAGAATTGATACTCCATAGTAAATATATTAGAGGTTATAAACATATCCATGAAATATTTTAACATTTCACTTCTTCTGCAATTTATGAAATTTTTATGGGTCTATTCCTGTGGAACTTTCTCCTTGCTGAACTCCATCAGCCTTTATCACCATATTTTTAGTTTTGGATCCCATTTACTTCATAGCCCAGCAGCGAGGCTGCGTGTTGGATTGTCAGGAAAGCGTTACTCAGCTCAGATTTCGATCTTGCAACTATGTCAATGTCGTCAGCAAAGGGCAAGATCTGGACCCTTCTGTTGATAATAGTCTCTCTTGTCTAAGCTTTTGAATGCCTTACTGCATTTTCATGCCCTAAAATTAATAGCAGAAATGTTAAACCATCCCCCCGTCGCAAACCCTTATTGATCTCCCTCAGGGAAAACATCTGGTCCACTGTGGATTTCCCACTTCTGAAGAGAATTCCGGAAAGAATTTTGTATGCCATTATTAAGCGCGGTATTCCTCTATAATTCTGCAGTCAAGCATATCATCCTTTTTGTAGATTGGGAAAATTATTCCCCTTTTCCATTCCGTTGGCTTCTTTTCATCAACCCAAATTTGAACCATCAAATTATGAAGGCCTTTCTGCATTTTAAAAGTTGGTGGATGAAAATTTTCACAGCTTGAGGAGATAAACTGGGGAGACAATGACGACGCTAGCTGGAACAAGTTCTCGCTTCCTCGGATAATTCAATGTGCCCATTGACATGGTTCGGCACTGAGATTTTGTAAATATGTACATATAAGTTTTTATTTCCTATTTTATAGTCTAGGTTAATGTTTAGTTCTATAAAAATTTTATATATTTTTTTTATAATTAAAGTTAATTGTATTTTATTTGTTTTCTTATAAATCTAATTTATTATTCATAATTTTCATTTCCTTTAATAGTAATTTAAATCAATAGAAATAAGTAAATTTCATCATTAGTATTAATAATAGCTAGTTTTATTTTCTTCCTTTTCTTCAGTTTGTTTTCACGTTTTATGTATATGGTATATAATTTTTTTTAAGGTTTAATAAGAAATGGTAAAACACTATTCGAGGGATTAGTGAAAATGAATACTAACCGCGTAAGAAGATTCGATAGGTTATGAAGTTAGGTTATTCGATAGGTTCCGAGTTCGTAGCTCACTCCGTATCCAAATTTTTTTTTTTTTAATTAAATTAATTTATTTTTTTATTATTATGGTTTTCCCTATTTTCCAAATTCAACTAATTAAATAGCGTGGAGCTCGTTAGACAGTTATTAATATTTAATTGACTCTTCATCATTTTTCTTTCTTTTTTTTGAGAACCCGACGTCTCCACTGAACATCGGGCGAGTTTGTTGCGGAAACAATTCTTCTAAATTAAAGACCAAACCAACATTATTTAACGTAAATCACATGTTTCCAAGAAAATTAAATAAAATTGTCTTACTATGTGTAAACTTTTAAATGTTTTAAATCTACCGAATCAATACCATTGTTTAAAATACTATTTCATTGCACTTGTATGAAAGAAGTGCATTATATAAAAATATTTCATGAGTATATTTTTAACGTATAATATATTTACTAGGGAGTATTAACTGTAGATAAGATATTTAAATAATTAGGTATCTATCGGCCATTTATTTCAAAAAAACCATAAAGTAATCTTTCAGAAAATTAAATTAGTGAATAATTTGATGAACTTTCCCGTTGTGAAATCCCAACATCATTATCCAATTACAATTAGTTTGACAACTTTTGACCTATCCATGACAGGCAATGAAAATCTTGTAATTTCCTTTTAGTAAACTTTACAATGGAAAATAACAGTTTAATAACTAATATTCCTACAATCCGTAATCATTTATTGGTTAAATATTGAGATATACCTTCATACCTCTCTAGGCACATATTTATTCTGTCAACCGAAAGGCTCAGAGACTGAAGTTGTGTGGTTTATAAAAGCAGATGGAGTTTCTCGAGTTTATTGCCTACCGACGATATAATAAATAGACTCTTTGTAATTTCAATGGTCTTAATGATTTGTTATTTGTAAGCTTCCAGTTTTAGCTCCGTTTAAAATACACTTCAAACATTTTATAATAGCCCAGCATTGCCATAAAATAATTTCTATTCAAAGTAGAGCGGTAAGTGAAAGTTGTGTGTTGCGCGCAGCAGATGTTTTTTTTTTAAATATTGTTACTTTCAATCGTAGTTTGTCTTCTTGAGGATTATTCTTCGAATCTTAATTTATTTTTAAAAATCAATATTATGCTGGTTGTTTAAGTTAGGTGAATGACATTAGTATAAATGATTATTCGATTGACTATTGCTAAGGATATAATGAAAATAAACACAGGCTATCAATTTTTAAAACACAATCAAAACCGGGAAACATTTAAGTTAAAATTACACATTGACAGAGTTATTTCATATCAGCTTCTTTTTGTGGCTAGTCTTTATCTCAATTTTTCTCATATTTTCTCTAGCAAGAACCATCTTTTATGACGACCCAATCTGAAAAAGGAATTAATAACAAGTTAGTGTAATTTATAAGATTCAGGGAACTGGTTGTTGATGGGAACTTTATTTAATTAATAAATGTATTTAAAATATTAGTCTTTGACATCCCTTTGAAATGTGGATTTATGTTTAAGGTCAGCGTTACTGGGGATTTTTCCGGCAACTAAGAAAATCATATTTCACAGAGCGCTAATTTGAATCCATTTATGCTTAATATGTGATTCCGCCATATTTCTCTTACCTTCTCCATCACATTCCACACTGATTTCGAGGTCACATTTGCTAAAAAAAGTTTTATATTCGTCCTGGTACTGAGAACTACCGCAAACAGGTTTAAAATCGGATGTACAGTTCTTTTTGGAAATGCAGTCTTCGACTGCTAATCCTAGAGGCACGCTAAGGACTGCTAATCCTATGAAACCTGAAAATTGATTGAATAATGAAGAAATATTACATTATATAAATGGCATTTATAGTTAATTTTTTTTTTTTTTTTTTTGACTTGATTCTTCAACTCACACCTGTCAGAAGTTCCGACAATCAGCGAGTGTGATGTCAAGATGTAGAGATTGGTCTTGGAATAGGCGTGAGGGAGAGGAGTACCCAGCGGCGTCCTTCCTTTCTTGACCGTAATGTTTATAGTTAGTGGAGGAGATCCCTCATCCAGCTTCTTTTAAGCCTCCTTCGGGTGTTATCGGGCATGTTAGTTGTGGCCATGTCTCGAATCAATGAGTTTGTATGTCCGTGTAAGTTATTATAAAATCGTTTGTAGTATGTTCGTATGTGGTCGTTAACTGTTGGCATCTGTAAGTCTTTATGTAGAGTAATGTTACTGACGTACCAGGGAGCTTTGGTGATAGTCCTGAAAGTTTTAGATTGAAAAGTCTGTAATTTACGTATGTCAGTCTTTTTGGCTGTCCCATATATCTGTAATGCGTAGGTCCAAATAGGCTTGAGTAAGTAAGTATATGTATTCAATTTCTGTCTAAGTTTTAATTTCGAATTTCTTGCAAGGAGTGAGTACAATAGGCGTAGTCTTAGGTTTAGAGTTTTTGTTTTGTTTTTGATATGTTGGCCCCATGTCATTCTTCTGTCAAAGGTCAGTCCAAGATATTGAACTTTGTCTGTCTGAGGAATTTGGATATTGTCAAGGTAAATAGGGGGGCAAGTTTCACGTCGAAGGGTAAAAGTGATATGTAGTGATTTGTCTAGGTTGAGTCGAATTTTCCAGAGTTTGCACCAGTCGTAGAAATTGTTTAGGTGATATTTATAGTTAATTAAATCAGAGCTATTAAAAAACTAAAGTACCCGAGTGAAATCTCTCAAATTTGATAATCAACACTCCGAAGGTCGCTAGCCTTAGGCATTAGTTACATGAAAGGACGCTACGGATCTGCGAGATCCACTAAATCAATTTATTGACCAAAAATACCAAGAAATTTCTCATTGTACTGAATAGAAGAGATATTAGTTGAGTTTTTTAATATATCTATTGAGTAAAAACATATTTACATAATTTAAAAAAAATATTAAAAATGACAAAATTAGGAACTTGAACATTAAATTCTGTATACTAGAAACTACTTAATATAGCCGATATATAATATTTTTTCAAGAATCTTCTAATGTCGCATTAATGAGATGAGGTAATTGAATATGCAGTATATAATAGGTCTAATATATTTTTGTTATAAGCTTTCGTTACATGTCATTGTCATCTAATGTATGTCCTCATGTCATGAATGTATGTACCCCTATAACTATAACTCTAAAATAATAATACTCACAGGCAAGATAAAGAACGAAATAGCCGCGTTGCATTTTGAACAAGGAATGTCGACAATCCAAACGAGGGTCCATTTATAGTTGAGCCGCCATTGGAAATGAGGCGTCTTGACCTTGGCGCCTATTACAAAGTTCGTCCACTTCTTCGATTTCTTGTTTGCAGTGGACAGCTGAGGAATATCTCTTTGTAATTGAAAGGCTTCGGGATTGGGTGGAACATCTTTTGAGCATGATAAGTATTAATCATTTAAAAAGAATAGCTTTGAGAGAACCCATAAGAAATTTTCAAATCATGGATAAAATGTTTAGAATGGAAATTGGAGGAACTCAGAAGGCATGGAAAGAACAGTCTCTTTATAAGCAATAGGTGAAATAGCTCCGTGACCTTTTCATGAAAAGGGGGGTCTAAGCTGCATCAAATGGGGGTAAAAGGTTTATTTATTTTTCTTGTATGGCTGCTAAATCCAAATTCGACCACTGAGCGGGCTCCTCTCTCCACCCCACCCTACCTGGATCATTTTAGAAAATCCTTAAAATTTACTATATATTCGCCCTTTTTTTTCGTTTGTTTGCCATTTTGTCCCTAAATGAGCACGTTTTCGACAAAAATACTCTATTCATATTTAAACTAGATTAAATATGCTACATTTCTATTTTTTCGTAGAATCAATCAGGAAAGAGCCGATTCCAAACCAATTCTACCCCACGCAACAGTGAGGACGGCTCACTGCTCACGAAGAAAGAAGAAATTCTCAAAACATGGGTGAGTCACTTTGAAGCCTACTAAACGACTCAACAGAGGAAGGCGATGAACCACATCCGGATTTCGAAGAGTTCTACAGAATGAAATATGTGCAAATACGAAGGTGAAAACTTGCAGATATACAATAAACCAATTACAAATATCGAAAAACTTATATGTACATATTTATAAAATCTCAATGCCGAACTTTGTCCAATGGGCACATTGAATTATCCGAGGAAGCGAGAACTTATTCCAGCTAGCGTCGTCAGTGTCTCCCCAGTCTATCTCCTCAAGCTGTGAAAATTTTCATCCACCAACTTTTAAAATCAAGCGGCACTCGTCGCTGATAATCACAGGTTCTTGGAGAGGAAAAGAAAAATAGGGTGTACACCGTAAAACTAAAGTATTTGACACTCAAAAATCCTTAGCTTGCCTCTACACTTGCGAGGTTCCGCCATCTCTCTCTCTCTCTAACTGTATTTTGTTTTTCTCTCTCATATTTCGGCTGTTATACTGAGTTAAAATTAATATTTACAACTAATACTTAAAACTAATTTATTTTTAGCTAAGCCTCTTCGAAGTAAAACTAACAATTATTTTACGAACTAACTTTTTACTTTCACTTTCGTATATATGTCATATATAGTAAGGGTAAATATTGCAATCGAGAAAATTTTTGGATCTGAGTTTTTAACGGAAATGCACGTTTTGAGGTACCCTGAGTCGAAGTCCCGAAAAATGGCCTGTATGTCTGTGTGTTTGTATGTTAGCAGTCTAGCTGAAAAACGAAAAGTCCTACGAAACTGATGTTACGTATTAAAGATAGGTATATGCCTTAGATTTGACAGCAACTTTTTCCTTAAAATCGGCTACCCGGAAGGGCCACTTTATATCAACGCTGAAATACATTTTCATAATTTTCTCAAAAACGGTTGTAACGATTTTGATTAAACTCGGTGTATCATTGCATAATTAAGTGGTCTTTAATATCAATTAGGTCTTATCCCCATTGATGTCACTTTACAGTGCTTAAATGCCCAATGTTCAAATACGTCTTCCTCTAAAGTACCTTTATTATGGTTCATCTCAAATAATTAACTATCTCTCATTATTAAGACATAAAGTTACGAAAAAATGCTAATATAACTTTTGAAAGAATTTGATAAGTTAATAAAGGAGAAAACAAATAATAATGCAGAAAAACCTGCGTCGCTGTATACTGTAGCGCCTAAACGAATGTACCGATTTCAATAATATTTCGCTGAAGAAGTGAAATATAAAAACATTTCATGGATACGTTTATAACCTTAAATATACTTACTTTAGTTTAATAACTCTAGATCTCATAATATATTTAAATATTTAGGTATCTATCGTCCATTTATTCCGAAAAATCATCATGTAACCTTTTAGAAAATTAAATTAGTGAATAATATGATAAATTTTCTCTTAGCGATATTCCAACAGAATCCACTTACAATTAGTGTGACAACTTTTTAATAAACTTTGCAATGGAAATAAACAGTTTAATAATTAATCGTCGTACAATCCATACTCAACGGATCGAACAATCCATAATCAACGAATCGTACTATCCATAATCAACCGGTGATATAATAAATAGGACTTTTGTTATTTTATGTGTTTATGATTTGTTAACTGCAATCTTTTAGCTTTAGCTCAGTTAAAAATGCACTTCAAAAATTTTATAATAGCCCAACATGGTCAGAAAATAATTTCTATTCAAAGTTGAGCAAAGTTCAAAGAGTAAGTGAAAGTTGTGTGTTGGGCGCACCAGATTTTTTATTTTTTTGCCCTCACAATGTTAGTTTTCTGAAATTATTTTTATAATTTTTTCGCCACACTCCGTTACCTTCTACAAATTTCTTTATTAAATATTGTTTTTTTTTCGAAAATTATCAGCTTTCCAACGATATATTTTACGTATACCTTCTGACTAGTAATTCCGGAGATTCATTTTCGACGTGGATAAACATTTTTATTTATTTTTTACTTTATTAAATTAAAAAATTCTTTCAAAAGTTATATTTAGCGTTTTTTGTAACTCTTAATAATGTGAGATAGTTAATTATTTAAAATAAACTATATGAAAGGTACTTTAGAAGAAGACAAATATGAACATTGGTCATTTATACCCTGTAAAGTAACATCAATTTGGATAAGACCTACATGATATTAAAGACCACTTAATTATACAATGATACACCGTGTGCTGGAGAACGGCTTCTGGAATTTTGGAAAAATCGAGCGAGGATTTTCGATAGGACCAGAATGTAAACCAATGGGTGTCCATGAGCGTACGAACGGCTTTTCTCATTGCAGACCGCGACTTGCAGTTGCCACGCCAGCTCCAGTAATGTCAGTGTCGTCTTATCAATCCAAGCTGTCATCCAAGGAGCTCGACTTATCTTATTGACAATAGTCAATTGATTTATTTATTTAATTCCTTCCTTTTTTTTTCTACGAGTGTATTTTTTTCACTAGCTATAATTATATATTTGTTTAAACAGAATATTAATGTATCTGCATACAGCAGGGTGTTTCAGGATTAAGTGGCCAAACAGAAAATATAAATAAATAACCTCAAAAGAAGAAAAAAATTCCTGTGAAGGTATTTTTTTATTTCTACAAACTGGGAACTCCCAGTTCAGTCAGGCAGCTTTGAACTCAACAATTAGTTGAAAAAAAAACTGTCTCTTTCCCTAAAGATCTAATTACTCTAATTATACCATTAAATGTCCTATATAACTGCGATAGATCCAGCAATTGTTTTTAAGAGAGGACATAAAAAAATGATAATAAAACGCTGTATTAAAAAAAAAAAAGAAGTTTATTTAAACGATGCTTGTAAAATTTATAGGTCGTTATAATTTATAATTCTATTCATTTTTCCTATTGATGTTGCCATAAAATTCATTGTTCAAATGTAAGGTCATTTAGAAGCCATTTAATTTTCCATGTAATTGTTCAACTCACCACAGATCGGTGTAAAAAAATTATAACTAGCCATTAAATTTTGGCTTAGCAACCATTGTCCGCGTCGAAATATCAGCGTGGCTAAAAAGCAATTCTGAAAACTGACGGCATTCATTTTAATAAAATAAAACAGAAATCTAAGATATCTTACTACATAATTAGCACCCATTAAAATCATCAACGAAATATGGCATAATACAAAAACCTAACTAGTTCGTGAATAAAAATAGAAAGTTAAATTGAGCCACAAATTATTCTAAAGTTAATAGTGAATAGTATAATGATAGTGAAATAATAGTGAGAAGGTATAAATATATTTTTGGAAAGCTGACGATTTTAGTAAAAATAATATATCTATTCCATCTGTGATTAGTGTTGCCCAAAATTGGTCTAAGACCGAGACCAAACCCTGCTAGTCTTGCAATTAAGTCAAACTTAGACTATTTTCTGATATAGTACGGTGCTTTACACTAGCGGATACAGGATTTAATTTTGGGGGGGGGCTTCAGCCCGGAACCTTTTTTTTTCATAAAAATAACGATATTTAATTTGGAAAAACAGAAAGAAACTAACTACCTATATGAAATGGTGTTTAAGTGATTCCTTAACTCCTTTTAAATGTAATTACACCAACAATAATACTTTAAGAGGTATTTTTTAATTTTTTTTTCCATAAAACGTGGTTATGTTTTACCATTTTGGGGGGGGGCTTCAGCCCGAAAGAACCCCCCCCGTAGATCCGCCCGTGGTGCTTTAACATTCTAATCTAAACAGCGTGTTTTTTTCTTGTGGAATTATATATTTGAGTATAGCCTTCCAAATAATAATAAAAAACTAATCTTTTTTTTTGTTCTCCCCTACCTCGCCTTTAAGTTATACGGGGGTTTTCGCGGGCCATGGATGAGGACGGGGGATTAATGCCAGAGTTAAAAGACTCCCGGGCAGCGGGACGCGAACTCATAATTATTTTATTGTCTCCAACTTCGGTTATCAGATTGCCGGGCAGCGCGCAGTGCTGTGCACAATCGTTAGTCCGCTCGGCCACCCCGCCCCTAATAATTAATCATTTGCCAGGACCGGAGCAAGATAAGAAAACAAAACATGAATAAAAATTAAGACTAAATGTTTACTAATACTAGCCCATTTAGTTACTATAACGAAACTTCTCCTCAAAAGAAGCGAACACTCACAGGGAATCAAAAATTGCCCGCTATTGAGAGATGTCCATTTTAGAAAAAAATGGAAGAAAAACAAGTTAAAAAAATAACTTTTAATCAGTAATCTTAAATTGTATATTAAAATTTATATCATTAAAATAAAATCGTTTATTCGGTTAATAGCATTTTTCTTTTTAAATTTT